AAAGAAGAGCTAAAGCGGGGTGTCAAAAGACAGAGGAGAAAGTTCTGTATCGACCCAGAGAGGACAGCAGGTGATGGACGGATAATGACTGAGGGAGGAGCTTCCCTGACCCCTCCTGACCTCGCCCCCCTGCATCCAGCTGCTGGGAAGAGGCTGCATCAGAGGAGGCCCTATAATGTGATGGGATATCCTGCCGCCTGCCTGCATGCTCACCCCTCTTCCTCCGCCGCTGCTTTCTGCTCTCGCCGTTTCACAGTCACCTCTGCACCGAGGCACACTCACGTAGTGACGCACATGGATGGACACGCACACACACACACGCACACCACGCGCAGGCGTTCACACATGCTGACAGCCACAAACTCACACTCACATAAACACACCTCCAGTTGACTCAACACTGGCATCCGAGGAGGCTTTGACTCAGGTCAACGCAGAAACGAAGGACAGCGCTGTAACCGTAGAAGAGAGGACACGAAGCTGGACGCAGAAAGCCTGGCAGAGGTGGTACAAGGAAAAACAATATTATCATGCAGTGCAGTGATGTTTGGTTTGCTGAGAACAAACAAAGCCCGGTATCGCTTTCAGGGACAGTTTTACGCACGAACAGCCGAATAAAAACTCAGTTTTATTTTAGATCAGAACATTTGTCACTTTTTTTTACTTGTCAAACGCTAAATGGCCATCCTTCCATTTTCTATCACTTATTCGTGGACAGGTGGGGCAACAAGTCCAGAAGCACCCAGAAACACTCTCCAGCTCCTTCTTGAGCATACCAGAAGATCCCTCCAGCAAGTTCTGGGTCTGCCTCGGGCTCTCCACTGGAAAACCTCCAGAGGGCGACACACATAGGGCATTCYAATCCACCTCAGCTGAGGTATTCCAATACAGAACAGCAGCAGTTCTACTCTAAGTTCACCTCGAATGATGGACCTGATGGGCTTCATYCWCTCTATGGAGGAATCAGGTTGTATCTGTGATCTCTGACTTTCGATTATGATMGACACTTCATGACCGTAGACGAGTATTGGAACAAAGATGGMCCAGTAAACTGAGAGATTTGCCTTTTGGCTCGGCTCCTTCTTCACCAAACAGACCAGAGCTACGCTCTTGTTACTGTCAACGACGTGCCGATATGTCAGTCTATCTCCCCCGTCAACCTTACAAACACACATGAACAAGACTTCCTTCACTTGGACTCCCCTGTTTGAGGGAGACTCACGCCCGACCCAAAGGGTGCAGTCCACCATTCCTCCAGTCGAGACAATGCACAACTAGCCAGTGCCTTCAAATGAGTCATTGTATCAGTTGCCAGTATCCCTCGGTCCTGTCTTATATGCAAGATTCAGCAATTTGTGGTCATTTTTCAAACTTGCCAGGCTCCCAGCCGCCACCCCTCTACCCCCAACCGCCCACCACTCGCCCTCCCTCCATCATCACCCATGAAAACATCAAAGCAAGGCCACAGTGAAACTTCAAGCCCATTTTGGCATTGCCCGCCTACCTCCAGATCCAGTAATTACAGCTTATATACGAGACATCAACATTACAACTCGTCAAACCACTGTGTAATAACACCGCAAAAGCACTTCAAAGAGAGGCAACTCACATTTCAAGGGGAAAATAAAAACTCATGGATTATGCATCAGGAGGGACTGATTCAGCCTTGAAGAGCAGCTGGAGCTCCGTTCACGTTAACTGGAGTGAAACAAACAAACAACAAAAAAATAAAACTTGATAAACATTTATGTTGGTGAAATTTGAAAAGAAATTCTGCACCATAGTGTTACGACTGAGAGGGCCAGTGGTGAGTAGGRTTTTCACCAGTCTGTGTTTTGAATTAAGACGACTGCTTCTCGTGCAACAATAGGATTACGCAGCAGATGAGGGAGACTTAGATAGTGAGGTTAACTTGGTGCCTTGCAGCTTAGACAGTAATACCAGAACGTCACCAAAAACTGGYTATTTTACATGTTTCAATACTGCCCTCGTGTGTTGTATGTTTTATCTACATTTGTTCTCTTACAAATACAGTACTTCCCTCTGCAAATGAGATGAAAATATAACAAGGCTGCAGGCCAACAATCYAGAAAAAATTAAGGTTATGTCTAAAATTATGAATTTTAATAAGATAAATGGGGTCGTAGCAACAAAAGCACCATGATAGAACATGCAGTGGATATTTCTTTATAAGTTAACCAGTTTGTTCTCCTTGCTGTTACCACTTCGGGGGTCTCTCTCCATAGTGAGTCATCCTCCTCCACCTCACTCTGTCCCTGTCGTCACTCCAACTACTCCCATGTCCTCTCTAAGGACGTGTCTTTTTTCCTGGCAACTGCTTCTCTGACATCCTTCTACTAATATCTCATCTGTCCCTCTGGTYCGAGGCCAGCTATACGCTGGGGAAAGAGTGGGGCAGTGCCCCCTCAAACAAATGCTTTGCCCCCTCAAAAAAATTCTGCCGAAAAATGGACAAGTTTTCTCATCTCAAGGCCACACCTCTATTAAAATTTATTTTCATCCAATAAGATAAATTTTGTGTTGTTGGTTGTTAAAGCAAACATGAAGGATATTTTAAAAGATTTCTCTTTTTTTCTCATTTATTATCTATTTCTGAGGGATTTCCACGTTATTGTGGTCAGAGGGTTTGTGCATCTCAGTGACTCTAAGAGCTACACCAGCGTGAATGTTGTCTTCAGGTGGGACACAAGCTGGACAGGTCTAAGGACAGTGGTCTGACAAAGCTTAGTCCATTTCTTAGAGGGTGGACACAGCYAACAGTAACAACTCAATCCTATGAAGAAAACAGTTTTTAATAAAACAAACACACGTGACACCCCTTTAATATTTTTGCCCCTTCACATGAATTCCTAGAACTGGCCCTGCTCTGGACATGTYCAAACCGTTTCAGTCCCAGTCTGTCCTCTCTAACTTTATCTCCCAGTTGTTTAACTTGTGCCRTTCATTTATGCACAATCAGAAAGCATAAAAAAATAATGTACCACAACATGCTACACAACCATCATCTTTTACCTGCTTCTTCCTTTYAGGGTCACAAAGGTCACTGGTGCTCATATCCAGCAATAACTGTGCAAGGTGCAGGGTACACAGTGGACAGGTCGTAAGTCCATCACAGGGCCACAGAGACAAACAACCATTCAAACAAACAAAAATGAGAAATTTGTCAATTATTTGTTAATATGTGTGGATGAGCATCAGTTGTGACGTTTCCACTAACCAAATACTGCTTCATGTTCTGGACAAAGTATGTGAATTTATAACGGATTTTGAAGAATTATTTGTAATAATGGGATACTGTTCAGCCCTAATATAACTTTTAACTGTGTTGATCTACTAAACTGGTAGCTTAGAATGGAAGTAAATAATAATCACTGTAACTAAAATGTATTTAATACTATGTCTGCATCTATCTGTAAGTGTCATATTTTATTTGTGTAGCATTTTGTGGCTTTCACCCCTAGTGTGTGTGTGTGTGTTGGTGTTTGCACTAAAGAAGATGCTGCTGGCAAAATAACTCGTGCTTTACACAACAACACAGAAGAGTGATGTCTGAAACTTTTCCTGGTGTTATTTTAAGTCAGACCCACCAGCAGGGAGCTGAGAAGGTGAAACACAAAGGGACAGTTTTAATATAACAAACAGGAAGCTGTGCATGTGTGTGGACACGTGCAAACTTTGTCAGTTTTTACTTACGACACATATGGTCCATTTTACCGTCAGTAATGCACAGATATCTGTCACAACTGGAAAGCAGTTTGATAATTAATAGTTATGCTGGGAAGCAACATCTTTAAATATGCTGTGACCTACTTTCTAACCAGGAAGTCAACAGTTTTATAACCGTAATGCAGCTTTCCTCAGAGTCATTAATATGTCAGTTTTTTTTAATTAGTCATGAAGAGCGTCTGTCTCATTAATTTTAACACTGCTTGAGTTGAGCACCCAACTTGTCACCTGCTACCTAATTTAACATTGTTTTGACCATTACAGAGGAACACCATGTCTAGAAATACACTGAGCTGTTAGAGAAATTAGGATGATTTATTGCTTTTTCTGCTACGAAACTGTTGAATCACACCTATCTTTTAGAAAATTTAACAACCATTGTTTTCTTTCTTTTTATCAGGATTTTACTATTAATACTGCATGTTTTGCAGTAAATTTGAGATAAGCTGAATTATGGTCTGTTTTCAGATGGTAAATAAAAACAAGCTGAATTTCAGTGCATTGAACAACACTGACACCTTGTGGGCATTTGCAGAAAATGCAAGAACTTGAAACACCTCACTTCTTCACATTTTCAGCTCTTTAAAATCAGCTCTTTAATTAAGGAAAAGGTACAATAGGTACCAAACATGAAATTGGGTCATAAATGATGCATAAAAATAATTAGGATATAACTCAACAATATTACAAAGTTGGTCTGTCAATGAATATGATTTATTTATAGTCTTCCTGTTTTTTTTTTTCTTTTGTGATACAGTGAAACTCAAGAAGGTGTTACTTGTTTAATTCCTGGAGAGTAAAGCATGYTTCATGTAATTGTCTTAATTATTGTCCTAATGAGTTGTATTGCGTTTAAAAGTACTGCACATGATACAGTTTATTAGAATAATAAATTATTTGCAATTAATATTTTACGAATACAACCGCTATACTAACGCACAAACCACAAAATACCCAAGTAAATGTGAAATTGGTAGATATTCATAGAAAAGATCATTAGGGGGGAAATCACTGTTCAAAATATTATTTTAAGTCTGAATTTAAATTCAAATAATGTTTTTTTTTTTTGGGAGATGACCAAGATAAAACGAAAGCACTAAAACCAGCAAAATAGTTTCACTGCAGAAACTACAAACCAACAAAACGTTCTGTAGTTTTTGTTTAGTTTCTGTTTTTAAAAGATTTAACCTCGCATGCAGCGCGGCGGCCTAAACGCAACTACAAAGACCACAATGCATTGCGACGGTACGGTCCTTATCATGACACATCTTCAGCAGCAGAAGGAAAAGCTTCCTCTGAAGGAGCGTTGTATTTGTTAACCTTTGTGAGAGGGTGACTCATTCTCAGCAGTTTGGAAAGGAAACACTACTTCGCCTTGGCAGAGATAAATTACCTACCAATAAATGTGTTGTCATAAGTTATCAGAAGCTAGCTTTGAGGCTGAGCAGCTCGCAGAAAACGGAGCTTAACAAGCTACTAGCTAACAGTAGCTAACTGAGGAGACTGAAAACATCACGTCGGAGTGTTAAAGTCACCAAAAGCCAGTAACCGGTGATAATAACCGTTGACGGGATGTGACACGAAGGAACAAMACAAGGTAGGTAGCTAATTTACACGCTTGTGTCCTAAAAACAGTTTGACTAGCCGAACTTGACAGCTAAAGTTAGCGTCAATTCGAGTAATTGGAAACATGGTGCGTTTAGGTGTAAAATATCAGCTTTAAACCAGGGAGCACTTGATGCTATACGTGTTTTTGCAGCTTGTTGACAAATTGACATCCATCTATATGGCCTTAATATTTCATGTTTTTAATGTGCTAGCTTGTGAAACCTTATCACGTGAGTTGCCACTACACAGGAAATGGGCTACAAGTTAACCCTTGTTTCATTTACTCCAACAGCTGTAATAAAAACCTCTTTGGATTTCTGCTCCTCTGTTACTTATTGACTGTTTTAACATCAAAATGTCTTCTTTAATGCGCATGTAATTTTTGCATTAAAAGATATGCATTTACTCTCACGGTCTTTAGTTTCTTAGAAACTCTAAGAAAAGGAGGATTTGGCAAACAAAGACCTGTAAACTCTTACTAAGAAAAGAGGACTAACCGGGCTTTATGAATGTAGTGATGTGTATTCTGAACAGGTGTGACCTGCTTGGCTCTCTTACCCCTGTTTGACTTGAAAATGCACACCTGGTTTTGCTTGATTTGCTGCCATTTTAAAGAGATAAAATTCACTAAACTTWCATGCACTATTTACCAAAAGAACTATGAAATTCTGTGCAAAAGAAGTTGGTCTTTATAAACAGTTTTAGACTTTTTCATACTCTTGTACTAAACTATGGCAAGTTTGCAATCCACCAGTAAAAGAAAAGAACAACAACTATGACAGCAAAATGTGATTGTGTGTGCTTCCAAATAAAGAAAGTGGGCACTTGAGCAGTGGTCCTTAAAGTTGGCTGGTAAAGCCCCAGGTGAAGGTTCTTGAGATGATTTCCAGACCACAATTAAAATGTAAAACTGTGAGCTAGCATAGTTGTTTTGTTGGTCAGAAGCTGAAAATAGAACACAAAATGTGTCAACACTAGAAATAACTTATCTACTTCAGACAAACAGTATGTCACAGATATGTCTAGAAGAAACAAACCAACTTATCACAGATTACTTAGTTATGTGTCCAACTTTTACTGTTTTTGACATTTTACATGAACCTAACAAAAAAGTTAGAACAAGTTGTGTATTTGTTGCAGGATACCTAAACAAACTAAAGTCAGTTCTATGCTATGCTGTTCGTTATGTGTAGACAATGCTGGTTTATCCCTGGAGTCTTTTTGTACTGAAATGATTTATAGGTCAGGATTAAGTGACATAATAATGAAGCATTCCCCTGAAAACAGCCAGGCAYGAAACTTAAAAGGACTAACAAAGTAGCCAAATTCATGAGAAATCTTATTCAAAACCAAGATTGGGCAAAATATAAAAGAGATGATATCAGATTTTTGCAAAGTTCTATAGTCACGTGCAGACTTCTAACAATTCTCACTTCTGCAGATTATGTCATGTGCACAACATTAGATATCCCAGTATCCCATTGCATGTCCTACATTCACCTTTTCCCCTTGGGAAAATATTGTCTCAGCCTTTATTTATATCTATTCCTTCAGTTTCCATCAGTCCTGGGTCACTCCGACTTATAAACCTCCTGACCTGCTCGTCAGTAATCAAGCCAAGTGTATTAAAAAAAGCACTCTTTGGTAATGGGATGTGTTTTAAATAGCAGAAGTAGAAGCAATTYATTTGATCTACTATGCATTTAGTTATGTGTTTGCTTAAATAAAAAAGTTAAAAAACATTTAGGTAAAATATTTGTCACTTGTCTGCACACTGGGTTTATTTCAGTCAAGTTAATTTGTCAAGTTTGTATGACGTGTGTAAAAATCTGACGAGGATAAATAGTTATTTCTTGTCATTAYATTTTAGCCAGTCTCCTGCAACCTATCTGTAAGACTATTTTCATGTTATAGTGACAAAATTAACTTTCACGCAAATACTTAGTAGTACGATGGATTTTTTGCTCAGCGGTCTTGATTCTTGTTACCTATTCTGTGTTAAAATCTTTCTTTTTCTAAACAGCTAATCTGCAGGAATGTTGACGTGAATTAACAGCTCACAAACAATGAATTCATCCCTCCTTTGGTTTCCTGTGACTCTCCCCTGGAACGGGAGCGTTTTGTGACAAAAGAAAAGGTGGCAGAAACACACTTGGACTAACAGGAGTCATGAATCTCCATCAGGTCCTTACAGGGGCTGTCAACCCTGGGGACAACTGTTTCTCTGTTGGGAACATCCACAATGTGCCTTTCACGGTAAGACATTTCACTCCAAGCAATTTAGCTTTGGGGGAGGCACCTGAATAGATTTTTGTTCGCTGTATTGAGCTCCCCATGTAAAACCTATCTGTAGTAGGTCTATTTGCCCCAGTTCTGAAATTTAAAACAATCAAAACTACTTTTAAAAATCAGCGTTTTTGAGAGAAATGTTAGCTTCTTTGTGATTTCTGGTAGATTGTGAAGAACAACGCGATACTAAATTTTAATATTTATGAAGACTTGACCAGATGGTGAGAGTGGACACGTTTTACTTACAAGAATAAAATCTTTTATCTGCGTGTTGAGCACACGTCAATACACAATTTGTAATAAAAATAAATATTAGTCCCTTATGTCCCTTTGTGAATGAGCCTCAGTCACAGTGAATCACAGCTCATGTGAGAGTCTCTTTTTGAGAACTACAGGAATAGAGCAGATATTGTTTGCTGTTACTCCATACTTGTCATATGCTCACTTGTCTGATGCACTAGCTCCAGGACAAGTGGAGGTCAAAAGACTCTTCATGCAATTCTCTCTGGATGCTTCTCTTCATGTCATTGTCATCTCTCACCCCTTCTTGTTCTCTCTCGTGTCCTTTGATAGGCCTATGCATCAGGATGTGATGTAGTGATTTTGGGCAGTAACTTTGAACGGCTGCAGATCATCCCAGGGGCCAAACATGGTAACATCCAGGTGGGCTGTGTGAACTGCTCACCACAAGGTGGACAGGTAAGATTTCAGTGGTGCAGCCTGTATAGTTTTTGAACAAAATGCTTCTTATTTGCAGAAATGATTACAGGCTATTTGTTTAATATTTATTAGGTCAATAAAATTCCCCAAAATTTGCAAAAATACAACCTTGTAAGAAAAACTAAATTGCATTAAAATACTGAGTGTTATCTTGTTTTGTATCAGTCAGTGATACTTAAAGTATTTGCTATGGACAGTCATGTGCTGTGTGCAAACAATGCTGGATTCATTTAATACAATTGTGGCTTTGTTGATTGCCAGAAAATTTCTTGGTTTGTATTTCCACAGTTTTTAATTATTAAAAAATAAGGCATTTCTTTGCTTGTTTCAGTATTTAAATACAGCTTTAAAGTTTTTCTTTCGTTGTATCACTTAAGAAAAAACTATTCTTTGGCTGGAACAAAAGAGTAAACTTTTTTTTAGACTAATTTAGGTTTTAGAACAAAACAAATTACAAATCGTGAAAATAAATTATTAGTTTATTAGAGGTTAAACGTGGGAGTACAACAAAGTACCCAAAGCTATCTGTCTTTCATTATTGCTACAGTCATAGTTTCACAGTTCCTGTTTGTGAAACAATGACCTGTGGTCAAATGAGAAGGAGAAATCCAGAATGGCAACATCTGCATAAATTTTAAAATAAGAATACTAAAGGCAGAAATCATTAGCAGCCTGGATTTATCTTGTAATTATGCAAACACCAGGACAGGCCTAATGTGGTTTAATAAAATCAAAGTGATCAGGCACTTTTAAACTGCTCCCCTCGTGACGTTTAATCCCATTCTCTTGGGTCAAAAGTTCCCACATCAGCCTGCAGCTCAACTAGCCTTTGTTTAAGAACTCTAAGCTGGTGTGTTTGCCGTCTACACCTAGTTACTCACTGTCTGTAGTAATATTTGCAATAGTATAAATTTACATAGTGCACCTTGTTCTTATTTGTTGAACCTTAAAGGCATATTAGACAACACTTAACTGTTGATTTTTAATGGGTTTTCTGAATTTATTTTTTCAACAAATACCTCCATTAATTTTTAGACTTTCCTGAAATGTTTTACATCAGATCTCATTTTTCTTGTTTGATTAGAAAAATAAATAAACTGGATAAATAGAGATGAAAACTTCATTTTGTATAACTTATTTTTTGTGCTTCTCAGAAAAGACCAGTGTTGCCCGTTTTACATGGTGCTTGATTTTCAGCATTCTTAAGTTCCTTTCAAGCCTAAAATACATTGCATCTGACTTTCTGCTGGAATTTGATTAAATGATTTAAATTTAAATCACCATGGTTGAGCCTAAACAAAGAGCATGCTTCTTTTTTCACATTTTTTTAAAGGTTTGTCCACCTAGAATGATTTCCATGTGACTGTGCTTGGGCACGTGAACCGTTAACACATCATTTGTGCACAATCACTTAGCATGCTTGTAATTCACTCATTCACTGTTTTCTCTGCCTGTCAGCTTATTATTGACCTCATCAAAAGTACTATTTGTATTTACTGTCGTAATACAGTTTTTCTTGATTGCTGTCATGCAGCAGTCAACTCAAACTTCACATTCTTTAAAACTGTGAACTCACAGGCCTAAACAGTGGCACTGATGGTCAAAGTGACACATTTTGTTTGCAAAAGGCTCTAACTGAGCCAAAACACTTGAAACAAAAACAAATATTGCCTTCAAACAACAAGTTAATGAGCTAATCCAATCAGTTATTACGTAATGGACAACAACATACAGCACTCAGTGCACCATTGCTTGTCTTTGTAGCTTGTTACATTGTTTTCCTGCAATTTATCTTTCTACATAGGCTGGGTCAAAATTTCCTTCTTGCAAATCTAGAATCAGCAGTGCTTTGATGCAAATTTTATTGATTCCATTACTTTTTTTTATTTGGGCTAAAACTGCAAATATTACAAAAAATACTGTAAATGTAAACTAAACTAAAATCTATCTGAGAATAAGAAATTACAGTACATAACATTTGCCAAAATTTCTTCTGAAACTTGAGCCTTTCCAACTCTCAGCCCACACAGACTCCTCTTCTGAACCCTCGACCTCTTACTTTCTCTTCTGCCTTGGACCTCCTCCATCCATGCTGGTAAAGAACAACATAGACCTTTTAAGGTCTGCAGACTTGTTTCTACGTGAAGATGTTTGTGAAGGAGTGTCAYACAGGTGCTTCAGTGATTTCATACTGACCTAAGTAGTTTCTGATAGTTAGGAACAGATGGTTTCTGTTTGGTTACAAGAGATAAAACAGTGGAGTTTGGACTACTTGAATGACATCTGTGTTAAATGCTTTGCAAAATGTTGGAGAAAATGTGTCAATCCAGTGAGAAAGAATCAAGAAAACCTGGAATATCAGCCATTTGCTCTATTTTATGACTGAGGCACTCATGGAAAGCCATTAAGCATTTACCTTAAATTAATTCAGAAATATGAATTGTACAACAGTAGACAGAATATGGTGTGGCAACCCGAAGTTGCACATCCTTGGTTTGATTGATTTCACCTGTTTTTTTTTTTAAATTTTTTATTTTACATGTCCTGGTGTACAGTAAAATTTAACTAATTCTAAACCATTTATAAATATAAAACAGTTAAAGCTCAGTCGGGTCCAAAATATCCTATTTGTCAGGAGGGATACCTGGCTGGCGCCCAACTTAAAATTAATCAAATTAATAACAATAAAACAGCAAATAAACYGGTACCGTTACAATGGTTCATTAGGAACATGAATGTTACAGGTTAAAAATATAATTTGGTTTGATGACCATATTTTATGTAAATCTACCACTAAGAATTGGCATGCTCATACAGTGAGTTGTGTAATTCTCTCAAATATATTTATGGACAGAAAACATTTCCCCAAATGTATTTTAAAATCTAGTGTGTTCAATTTGAATGGACCTATTTTTTTATTGTATTTATTTATTATTTTATTTATTTATTATTTTTATTACGTATAATATATGACATGGTTTGTACACATGGTTTCAGTTTTATGTTTTCCTTGTAAAAAAAAAACTAATATTTATTATTTTCATTTTTTTTCCTAACAGATTGCAGCTTCCTATGGAAGCATAGTTTGTGTTTTTGAGCCTGTTCAGCAGACATATCAAAAGGACACATCATTATCTGTAAGTATTTTTTTTCTTTCAATCACTGTTCAGTTATATTTGTTCTCAGGTTAATCAGAAAACAAAGCATTGTCTCATTAATTAAGTTTTAAGAGTTACATTCATAAGAATTTACCAGAAAAGAGCAAACAAAATGCCTCAGACTTCAGTTATCAATAATTATTTTCATTTGTTATTTATTCATCCTTTTTGTGAGCGAATATGTTTGCAAAGCTGAGCAGCCCTCTGTTATTAGGGAAAGACAGCCTTATTAATGGTCTATACATTGACATTTTGAACACAGTCAGTGTCTGTAATTACTGAAGATTATCTGTAACATTGTTTCCCTGTGGCCTGATCACATGTGACTTATGTGGAATCAACTGTTGGCTCTTGTGCAATTTGCTGTTTGTAATCTACTGGTAAAAGTTGARCAAAGAAACCAACTAATATGAAAAAGATTCTTAAGGTTATGCTTTAAATGTCCTAATCCTATTTTTACAGAAATCAAACTATCAGTGGCAGAAGACTGGTCAGTTTGTTTTACAGTCTATGGTACGAAACTTGGCCTGGCACCCCACAGGTACATAACACTGTGTGTGTGACTGTTTATTCTAGTTTATTAATCTGTTGTGAATAGATTTATTTTTTAACAAATATGAAAGAGTGATTGTGTGTGTGTGTGTGTGTGTCTGCAGGCAGCACTTTGTTAACAGGCTCCAGCAGCCTCCAGTTGTGGTCTAATGCTGATGGGAAAGATGAAGCTGAAGGAAGAGAGCAGCAGACAGAAAAACCCAAACAAAGCAGTCATCCTACCTGGAGGTGTATCTGGCAGAGCAAGTACGAAATGAAAATCCCTAAGATGATGATAAATTGTGTTTTTATTATTTTTTCTTAGAAACTATTTTTAAATATTTCATGTTTTCTCTCTTTAGGACTGCATCTGCAGTTAGTTTTATGAAGTTTTCTCCTGACGGGGAATTTTTTGCCACTGCTGGGAAGGTGAGTGACTTTTACAAAGACCTTCCTTAAACCTATATWTTTTTTTTTTAAGGACAAGTCAATAGCTTTAACTTAGAATAGCAAAGCTTCCAACATATAATCTATATTTCTGTTTCTGCTACTGCTTTTCAGGATGACTGCCTGGTGAAGGTCTGGTACAGCACCAACAAGTGGAAGTCATGCATCGCCAGACTGTTCAYGCCTCCAGATGCCAGCGCAAATTTACAGGGAGAGCTGGCCTTTTCCTTCGTCTACCTGGCCCATCCTCGCTCAGTCACTGGTTTCTCTTGGAGGAAGACGAGCAAATACATGCCACGGTATGAATACGGTCACACCGTCAATTCTATGGCCATAAATAACTTTACAACTTAACAGTAACACAACTCAACTTGAACGGTGACATTCTTTTAGCTTAGCTTGTTTTTCTTTAGCCCTGTTGGACAGGAATGAGGGATGGGTATCATTAAGATTTTATCAATACTACTAATCCTATCCATTTCGCTTATCAGTCTGGTATTTAATATACTCTTATCGATGCTTTTCTGTGGAAATAAAACCAGTATAAACTTCTTTGCTTTGCATTTCTTCTGGAACAATTTAGAGCACACCATTGAAAAACACTTTGCCACATATCTAATGTTTTTCAAAACAACCTCAGTCTGGATTCTTATGTCACATTTCATCTGACCCTTACATCAGTGAGGTGAGCGTATCGATCCAATAATAATAATAATAATAATAATAATAATAACACTAACCTTGAGTCATGCAGTCGTAACGT